GTGTGGGGCTGATGTGTAGCCTAGCTGTATTTCAGAAAAGATTGGAGTCTGACCTGTGTGTTATACCCTTAGTTCCTGTAATCTATGTGCTTCAAGTTAAGTTGGACTTCAAATCTCAGAGGATCATGGCATGGAGTCTAACTGGAGGCCTGTAACTAGTGGTGTTCCCCAGGGGTCAGTGCTGAGTCCAGTCTCATTCAATGTACTTGTCAGTGATCTGGATGAAGAGAGAGAATCCATCCTTAGAAAGTTTGCTGATGGTACAAAGCTGGGAAGAGTGGTTGACACATCAGAAATCTGTGCTTGCATTTGCTGAGACTTGGACAGTGAACTCTGGAGGGTTGGGGTGGGGAGGAACCTGATGAACTTCAACCAGAACAAGTGTAGGGTTTTGCACCTGGGAAGGAATGACCAGACACATCAGTATGTGTTAGGGCCTGACCTGCTCAGAAGGAGCTCTGAGGAGAAGGATCTGGGGGTTCTGGTGGATAGCATTTTGGCCATGAAGTGTGTACCTGTGGTCAAGAAAACCAATGGGATCCTGGGGTGCTTTAAAAGGAGTGTGGCCGGTAAGTCAAGGGAGGTGATCTTCCCCCTCTACTCTGCCCTGTTGAGGCCACATCTGAAATACTATGTCCAGTTCTGAGATCTTCAGTTTGAAAGAGACAGCAAACTTCTAGAGAGAGTCCAGTGGAGAACCACAAAAATGAAGAGGAATCTGGAGTATCTCTTATATGAGGAAAGGCTGAAAGACCTAGGATTGTCCAGCCTGGAGAAGAAAAGGCTGAGAAGGGATCTCCACACTGTTTATCTAAAATGTGGGAGTCTGCCTCCATCAGCTTGACTCTTTTCAGAGACATGCAGCAATATTAAAAAGGGGCAACAAGCCAAAACTGGAATATAGGAAGTTCTGTACAAGTGCAAGGAAGACCTTTTACTGTGAAATTGACAGAACATTGGAACAGGCTTCCCAGAGTGGTTGTGGAGTCTCTTTTTCTGGAGATATTCCAGACCTGTCTGGACACTTTCCTGTACAACCTACTCTAGGGAACCCGCTTTAGCAGGGGGGTTGAACTCTGATCTCTAGAGGTCACCTCCAATCTCTAAGATCCTGTGATTCTGTGCAGCTGAGAATTTGCTATATGAAATATTGTTATTGTGCTCTTTGTATCTGTTGTATTTTCCATGGAAATAAGTAGTAGGCATTACTTTCAGAGCACGATGCATGTGTTTTCTGTGTTTGTGGGCATATTAGACTAAACTGACCAGTGGTAAATGTCCTTGAGAGACACATAATAAAATCTGTGTATGAAATGAAACAATGCAGTTGCAGCCTTCTGGTTGAATACCCACTCTGTTTTAGCTTGGGTTGAATTTACCCCTGAAGCATCCAAAACTTCAAACCCTTCAAGAAACCTAGTGAGACCAGAACTGTTGGCTTTGACTCAAGTCAGAGTGTACAGAAATGTTAGCTGGTATGAGCTGCCTCCATAGTGCCACCACAGTGTGCCTGAGGATATACACCCAGCAGGTGGTGTGCTTGGGCAGAAAAGAGATATCCCTACTCCAGAAGAACTGTATTGTTTTGTGCTTTTGTTTTTGTTGTTGCTTTTATTTTTATTCCCCCCTCCTTACCCCTGAAGGTTTAGAATTAGGGATTTTTCTCTGCATTCTCTTTTTCTTCCTCTAAGTCTTCTAAGCATCTTTCTTTCTCTTTTCCCCCTCTTTTCTAAACTGAATAATCTGTTCAAGCAAGTCAGAAGCTGTTGAGCTAAAAGAAAAAAACAATTCATGTGTCTGAAAGCATATATCTCCAAACTCTCTAAGGACTGTCACGCAAGCCGGGAGGTAAACTGGCACATGTGAAAGAAAAGGCTTTCATAACTTTTGCTATGATTGCTGCTTATTCCTGCAGAGGCATTTCTTTTTCAGAGATGGTTGGTTGTTTTTGAACAACTTTTTTACTACTTTGTCTAGAAAACAAGAGGTAGAAGAGCTTGGTATAGTAATTTTTGAGTAAATTAGTAATTCATTGGTTTTGAGATAGCAGTGTCATTATATTACTTACCATATTTGCATATCTTTCAGGGGATTTTGTACAAAATAATGAGTGTCCTGTGTGAATAGGGATGCATTAAGACACTAGTGCATGATTTTATTATATTCTGTAATATGAGTTCAGCAAACAGGTGCCACACCATCTGTAATCCTCCTCATTTTTGGCAGTGACTGCAAGATGAATACAGGCTGGACTTACAAATCATTAACAGTTGTGTGTGTGGGTGGCCCCCACTTCAATTCATGCACTCAGGCACATTTGCATACTCACAGATTGTATACAGAAAAACACAAAGTAGAGCCATGACTTTCTTGTTCATGTTTTAAGTAGCATGCATTATAAGTTAGATCCAGAGCTACTGTGCTACTTGTGGTGTAATTCTTGGAGAATGTAGAATTGCATAAGCTCCCTTGGTAGTTGGAAGATGAGGCACTCCAATTGTACAAGGCTGTAGAGAGATCTTCAGGCTGCAGTGGATTACTTTGATTTTTGCTAGAGAAAATATTGTCTCTTTAGCATGATGATCTCTCCAAATATTCCAAGGTAGTGAGGAGGAGTAGTCTGCTGGAGTACCTGAGTATATCTAGCCGCTGAAGGAAAACCCAGGAGATGCCAGATAGCCAGTAAATGAGAAATGCAGGCATTTTCTTTGTACTTTCACATCAAACTTTGTCTCCAGAGACTCACCTTCAGGTCTCAACCAGAATGTTAGTTATGTTTGACCTCTTGTAGTCGCTTGTATTTTCAAGTCTGGATCCAGACTAGGACCCTACTTCTGGTCAGTACTTCAAGTTTGTGCGATACAAGGTGTGGCATAGTTTGATAGCAAGAAGAGAAACTGGGTGCTTCAGCACTAAGAAATGTTGCTGAAGGATTTTTTCCACATTTTTTAAAATATAAGCAAGCAAAGAAGCATCTTTCTTAATCTGGATATAACTAGGTAATAAGGACTATAGCTTATGCTATACTTGGCACTGTCAGCAATGCTAAAATGCTTGTATCTGCTTAAGATCTTATGATTCCTACTCTCTAATAATGGCAGCAGTAACTATTTGTCCATGGGAATGCAATTTTTCTTCCATCACATTTGTTTATTTCTTTATTCTTCCAGCCTGGAGAAGTTGTGGTACTGGAAGGAGATAATAGCTCATCTCTACAGATGATAGCATCCCAGATTCCAGCCCCCTGAATCTGTCCACCCTTCATATTTTGCAGTTACTGAAGGTTTAACTCTCATGATGTTGATTAAGATTATCATGTTTTTTTGTACGTAGGTGAGGGGAATAGGTGTTCACTGTGACCTATAAGTTATTAAATAACATTTCTTTTGCTCATGGAGGATGAAGCATAGTGACTCACTTGGCCTTTTGCAGATCTATCTTTCCAGGTAATTTTCATGCTTTTCTTATTTTGGTCATAAATAGAAATAACAAAAAACAAATAAGACAAGCTTGCCAAGGTAGTAGTGAGTCACATAGGAGATTAAACTATTTTAACATAGTAATTGCGTACTTCCCTTGCTTTTATTACTCGTGTTTTTTTTTGTGCCTTGGGATGAATTTGTTGGTCTCCTGTGATACTGTTACTTGGATTCTACTCTCTAAGCAAGGAAGTTTCTTTGTGTATGGAAAGCTCTGTCTGCTATTCTGTGTCTAATAGTGGTGCTATGCTTGAGCTGTGAACAGTTTCCTTATTCTATAGTATGTTTTGAATGCAGACAGTAAGAAAAATTCTTCCAACTAGTGAGCAATAATACCTTACTTCTCCTTTGCCAATATGCTTTTGGGGAATGTCAATCTGCGCAGAATCTGGATTAGCATATTTTAACTCTGAATATTCATACATTTTTGCATGCTGTCCATGTGAAAGATAATGAAGGACAGAGGACTGGAATGTCCTCCTACATCAGAAAAAGAATTCTTATTTAAGAAGGTAATTGTCTTTGGAAATGTAAGAGGGCATTTAGCTACCTGTTAATTCATGAGGTGGTACTAAGAATGATTATATTGTATCATTACTACTACTAGTAGTTGTTAAATACAAAGTTCTTAAATAGCCTGTCCTAAGGCCACTAGAATTTTTTTTGGAAATAGCTTTCAGTGATTGAATGCCAGCCAATCTTGTAATAAGAATGTAGGACTTTTTTCACTGCCTTTTCCTCACATGTGTGAACTTCTTGTGTTCTAAACATTAATCTGCCTTCTGGTTCATCTCTATCTTCCCTTTATCACCCTGTATTTCTATGTCTCTGAAGCATTCTTCAGTGACTAAATCATCCCACACAAAAGTCCTGGGCAAGCACAATGGGGAATCAAGGGATGGGAAGGCACAACCCAAGGGTAGCATAAGGTGCTTAGAGAGCAATGTAGTGTTTTCATTTGGAGAAATACATTAAAGTACAGTGAATATTTATGGTTATATTGGTCCTTGAGAAATATTAGACAAGGCAATGGCATAGGATCTTTTTATAGGGACAGTAAATAATATGTATTATAAATAAGTCTTGGAGCTGTAAGCATCCCTCCTTGGCCACCTGCAAGCATCTGTATTACCACTATTTGGTAATGCTCTATAAATAAGAGTTTTTTTCTGGACCAAAGCTTATGATACATATGAGGTTTTTAGATCAGTCATCCTTTTTCCTAAGGGGTAATGAAAGATAGATTATTTATTGTATTATTTGGGTTATATATATTTTACCTAGTTTCTGAAAAGGAGCTCAGACTAACCTTTAATTTCATAGCTTCAGGTATTTATAAGCTCAAAGAAAGAGTGCAATCAATGAGATTTGGATGTCTGCCATCAGGTTGGTTTATATTTCTTTAGAGAGAAAAAACAAATCTCTTTTCCTCTCAGGAGATATGGAGAGACTGCAAAATGCTTGAGAGCAGCACAGAGTTGACCGTGAAAGCACAGTGTGTCTGTTTCTTCTTCTAGAGCAGAGCAATTGATGCTGAACAGCAGGGAAAATAGCTACTGGAAAGCAGAGCCCTTTGAGCTTTGAAAATGTGACAAGCAGAAACAACATGGTAAGTGTTATTTGTGCATATGTACCACAACAGCTTTCAGCTTCAGAAACACTATCACCATTGTTAAGTACTTGTAGATACATTTATTTAGTTGTGACAGCATCAGACCACAGCTACTCCTGTTATTACTTGCAGCTATTGCCACTGAACAACAGTATCAAGATAAGCGGACAGCTATTAAAAGCAAATGTTACTGAGCCCACTTACTACTTATAGTTCAGCAGTGCATAAGAACTGTACCTCCATGCTGAGAGAAAAGATAATAACAAGCCTTAAAGGCTCCAGCTGTTGATCATGCAGTTGTCTTTTGGCACCCTATATCAGGAAGAGTTTCCAGGAGTTTTAGTCCTTATCTTTTTTTCCTAGCAACTCTTTTTGATAAATGAAATTTCCACCACAATGTCTGTCCATTTGATACTTTGGTAATTTTGGGAAAGCATGTGACACACTGAATTGTGTAGTGTTTTACCAAAGTTCAATGTCATAATATTTTCTTTGCCAAATGTTTACATTCTTACTGCAGTATTCATAGAATGGAAAAATGTCAGCTGTTGGTGAACTGAATGTGTCATATCACTACTCTTTACTACTCATGTCACATTCCTAGATGATGCTTCTGGCCACGAATATGCAGCATACACACTTTAGACTTCTGCTGGGGAAACTACCAGCAAAACTGCTAGTAGGAACAGTTACTCATTCCAATCAAATGAGTCTAAACCAGCATATTGAACAATCCCAGGACCCATTGTCTGGCTCTGAAACCAATGGGTGTGTTACACTGTCTTATCATTCAAAACAATGGTTGCATCCAGATGCTCTCATAGGAAATGTCCCAGAGACAAATTTCTGATCATCTCCAGGAGTTGTCTGGATGTGTGTCATGTGGCTGCTGATTTAAAAACATGTTAATAATTTTCCAGCGGTTATGCAGTTAAAGAGACCATGATTAAATACGAGGATGCTGGCACTATTGAATTTGCTGATTTAGATGTAGCCAGTAAGAGTTCGATTACTCTGAAAATACAGTTTCAGGATTCTGGGCTAATTCCAACATGAAAGTCTTTTGTGTGTGCATACGTTCCCTTGTGCTGTCATATGTGTCAAAGCATGCTGAAGTCTACTTTTTTTTTTTTTAACTTACTTTACTGGTTTGGCTACTCCCAAAGGCAAGACAAAATAGTTGTTTCCCAAGCTTTCCTCTGGTCACTATCCTGATGGCCTGATTACTGCAATAGGGCTTGTTCCCTTCCCCCACAGTCCCTTCAATGATAATGACTGGGTGGAGGGGCTCTTCTAAGCCCATTGCTCAGACACATACAGGTATTCCTGACAGCTCCTGTGGATAGGAACTTAAGCTGCACCAGCTACAGACTCTAACCTCAAATGCTCCCTTTGCCAAGAAAGCAGTCTAAATTAGTTTAGCACTTGCTATTGCTTCCTGAGCTTAAATGCATTACCTCAGTAGTACAACAGAAGGACACAGCAATAATCAGCTTCGTGAAGGCTACTGGAGTGTCTTGGCAGTTTCTTCAGACACTTCTACTTCTTACCTCCATGGCTCCTTTCTGATTGAGGCATGTATAACTTGGATTACTTGAAAAGTTAATCTGGTGGCTTCCTTCCCAGCTCTCAGTTTCACCATTTCTGAGATGCTCTGTAATCAGTCACTCAGCTATCTAAATATGGGTAAATTAATTTCAATTCATATGTGAGAGCTAAACACACTATTTGCCTCTATGTTGTGGGGATCCAGCTCAGTTGTGCCAGAAACAACTTTGTACCATCTCTTCAACATTACCAATGCTTTCTGCTTGCCAGGAACAGCAGCACCATCCTATCTAATATGCAGGCCTGGACTCCTTAACATGATCTTCAGGCAAGCTGCAGCCACAGGTTGGATCTCAACTTCTAAGATTCTCTTTGTCTAATGGTTCTGAAATGCAACATTCCATTCCCTCAGTTAGATCCATCCCTCATTCTTTCCTAACTTGAGAATTGCAACAGCCTGTCATCTTGGTCTGACAAAGCTCATCCTGTTCTGCTTAAATTTACCGACTACACTGTTTAGTCTCACTACTTTCCCTCTTAAAAACTTTGAACCTCTCTTCCCTCTCCAAGTATCATTCTTTCAGCTTTGTATTGCCCATTACATCTGACAGAAATGTTTTGGTTGGAGGTCATTAATGGATTTGTCTTGTGCCAGCACACAGGAGACAGTGCAGAAATCACTGTCCATATTACTTGACTGTTCAAGCAGTTAAGTCCTTCGTGTTGTTGGCTAGCAGTCTGCCAGGTAAATCCCGGGAGAGTTTAGGAATTAATATTGGAGAAACTACCAACCATGGCAGTTTGGATGTGAGCATCCTACTTCCAGGCCAAGTCTAACAGCATGAATATGACCAGACTATGCCAGCTGGTCTGATGATGAGTGAAAGGGCTCTGGCATTACATCAGGGCATCAATATTGTCTTCAGGCTTCCTAGGGATATGAAATAGTGGAATTCTACTGCAGAAATCAGAAGAGTAAGGTAACAAGTAACTAGAAAGTGTATTAAAATTGTTTTTGTTATGTATTTTCTCCTGGGACATAAACTCCCAATTTTACTTAATTACTGCTGCTTAATATCCACTCTCTAAACAATCTCCTTGTTCCTCTGAGGTTATTTCAGCCACCTTTACCAAAGATTAATGTTCCAAGCAGTGATTATAATTTTATTATCTAGTAATTACTCTGTAAAGTAATTGAGTCTACAGCCTTTCATAATATGGTGACATCTACCTACAAGTTGTTTTTTTCATGAAGGGAGAGAGATTATTTGAAATGATTCTACAATACTATCTTCAAAATCATGCTGCTATAGTTTCTTCAGCAAAGCCTCAGATGTGCCTTTCCCATGTACGATTTGCTTTGTATATTTTTCACATGTTTTATTTGTTGGATCTACTGCTGTACTTATTAATATTGAGTTAGAAGTTGGCCTATAAAAGGTAAGTAATCTACGGCTAGATACCTAGATCTCAAAAGAGAAATAATAAAAAATGTATTAAGATAGATGAGAGTATTTACTATGAGTAGTAAATTTTGTTACAACGTAATTTAATTATATCAGCTGTTTCTCTAGCTCATTGCCAAGTTCTATTATTTTGCAGACACTGGAAGTGTCAGACACTGTAAAGACTACTGAATGTAAATTATGTTTTCCAGAGAGCCTTTGGTTTTGCAGATGTATGAATGATTTGGCATAGTTATCCTCTGGTTAAAATATTCAAATAGCCAATAATTTACTACTAAGGGCAGAAAACTGGGCTGGGATTCAGGAAACCTGGTTTTCTTTTCTGAAGCTGTATCAGCCTTGATGGAGGATCCTGGGTAAGCACCTCTCCTTTCTGTCTTATTTTTCTCATCTAGAAAACAGTGTCTGACTCTATTTCTTTACTGTGAGAGTGGTGAGGTGGTGGAACAGGCTGCCCACAGAGGTTGTGAATGCCCCATCCCTAGAGGTGTTCAAGGCCAGATTGGATGGGGTCATGGGCAGCCTGGTCTAGTATTAAATAGAGAGGTTGGCCCTGCATGTGGCGGGGGGTTGGAGGTTCATGATCCTTCCAACCTTGGTGATTCTGTGATTAAAAAACAAAGCATAATAGATGTGATTATTATGATTTTTATTTGTCATAAATGTTATCCTGTACTTCATACAACATCTCTCTCTCTTTTTTTTTTTTTTTTTTTTTTTTAAGAAGCAATTTCAGGTCTCTTTAATTAAATATGTGATACCATAATGAATTACTGTGTGTAGCTGGTTTTCTTCCATTGCTGATTCTGAACTTAGGAAAGCATGCAACTTTGAAGACAAAGCATGTTAAGTGGAGTTTTATTACTGGTTTCAGTTGCTTGCAAATACTTGTAAATATTCTCTAATTTTTCAATCTAGAGGTTGTTCCAATATCTATGGACTTGTTGCCATATTTGCAAACTAAAATAGTATTTATATTCCCCATAACATTAATTAAGCAGTGAAAATTGTATTAGAAATTGTTTATTCTCTAATTCAATCACCAACACAAAGGACAATGTGATCCTGGTAAGACTGCTGCAGTCTGAGCTCTGTGCATCCCACCCTCTGAAGCTCAAAGTCATGGGCTCTGTGATGCAACCCCAAAAGCAAGCTGCACAGGCCAGGTGATAAGTGTTGGCTCCTATTCCTCCTTTCAGGAATGAATCCATCCCAAATGCTAAAAAGCAGCTCTGCAGGTGGAATGGTCAGTGACTGACAAAGAGAAATCAGAAGGGAGGAGAAAATGTTATCTTTCATGGCCTGATTCCAGTTCATACAGACTCAAGAGTCAGGTAAGGGTCTCTCACACAAAAGGCACGAGTTTAATGTGCAATTCATTTTCTAAATGTATTTTTTTTCTCCCCCAGTTATCTTCATATTTCCACCTTAATGTTTTCTTTTTTTAACCAGCAGCAAATTTTTTAAGGCTTAGATGGTAGAATGGTTGATGGGATTTGTCAGAAATTTGTAAAATGCAGAAACTTGTGTTTTCTACAGGTTACTGTTTTTCAAAGTGCTCTGACAGATACAGCTGATACAGGAAAATGAGCAGCCATATCCCAGCAGATCTGTGATAACAGTGGTGCCTGGGAGCCCCTGTCATTCTCCACTTGCTTTTGTGGTAAGGCTTGCACAGACACAACTCTTTGTCACCTGGCCCTGCCCTAACTGTTGTGTCAAATCTCTCCAAACCTTTCTTTTCCCATGCCAAGCTCAGTGTGCCTGGCATGAAGCCAGGATAGGCTGTTTCTTTGTTACCAGACAGGGCTGGAGAGAGATCAGCGGCATTCATTATGTTGTAAATGCCCTTTAGTTGTATCTCAGACTCATTTCTATTTCGTCTATAGCCGGTGCAGAGAAAGGCCTCTGAGTTTATCGCAATAGCTCAGCTGATTATAAGAGGAACACAGCAGGAGTTGGGGTTAACTCTAATTAAATACTCTGGAGATCTTTCTTAATTTCTCTGGCCTCATTTCAACAGAGGAAGTCAAGCTGATATCTAATTCATTGAAGTAGCCGTTTTCACTCAAGTCAGGTAGGTAGATTGCAAACTCTCAATAACGTTTCCCAATGCATCTCTGCCAGGTAAAAAGGCAACATCTCTGCACATCACAGGTCATCGATCCTTAGGCACTCACACAGATATATATGTAACTATCTCAGTTGTTCCTTTAGATTCAGGCAATGGCTTGTGCTTAAACTAGGACAGATATCCAATCAAGTATTTGCCTAAGTTCTCTTACAGTAGTAAGTTGCAAATGCACAGAACAAAATCAAAGCACTTGTGAAGTACTTTAAGTTCCTTAATCATCTATGAAAATTAGGGCGTTGTGTTTTTGGCAAGAACAAATAACATGGTAGGTAAGGATAAAAGCCTGTCTGGCTGGATCTGCCTCCTTGTGAAGAATAGGATATATAAGTGGTAGTGGAGACTGGAGACTTTTCTCCTTAGGAGGCTTCAGTGCACTGGAAATTTCCCATTACCATTTTATCCAGGTTTAATTCAAGATCTCCACATGAATTATTCAAATAAGGAAGCACAATCTCATGTAGAAAAAAATACTACAAGAAATGTTATACTGCAGTAAAATGGTATATCTTTGTCTATTGAGACAAGTTACAAAACAAACTTGTCTAGAACAAACTTTTATGATTTAAGCTTCTGCATTTTATCACATCTTTATGACATCTAGCTATCTGCTCTGTCTCTTTAACCTTGCTAAAATAATTTACAAAAAAAAGTCCAAACCCCTTCTCACTTGATCATTCCTACTCAGTTGTATATGTAAACAAGACAACCAGGTATTAGCTTTAAAGTCCAAATGAGGCATCCATCACAACATATGAGGAAACAAAAAATACTTAAGTGTTTATTTTTCCTTAACTCTAGATTCTACAGAGAATTGTTTTCACACCTAGTACTTCAGGTAGATACTAGATGCAGATTTGCTACACAGTGAATTGGATGCCATATATGAAACAATTCCTAGGAAAGGATTGGTTCTGTTATTGGAAACTGGGATATTGCTGTTATTTCATCTAGGATCTTATAAGAACTGGATATATTCTGAGTCACTTTTCCTATTTTGTATTGTTTCCTATTTTCATAGCACCTCCCTTCCTGATTTCTGCAAAGCAAGTTCCGAAGTACTGTGAGAAAGATTGTGCTTCTAATGATAACACCAATTATATTTTCAAAGCTGCGAAGCCATTTGAGTATACTTGTTATGCAGATCCAGAAGCTCCTTCTATGTCAGTAGGATCAGGAGTGGAGCCACACTTGAATAAAAGCACTTGATATATGCTTTCAGATTTTTGAATCTGTTTTAAGCACACGAGAAATTTAGCTGATGTGAAGCAAGTTGAGGGAGTTCTGCCAAGGTACATCTACCTAACACCCAGTATGGTAATCTACTGCTCATTAGATCAATTCAGCCCATTAAAGAACTTTCACTAACTCAGTGAGAGTGCCTACCTGACAATAAGTATTAATATATGTAACTTCTGCGAAAAAAAAAAAAAAGGGGGGTATTTTTTTCTTATATGGTATAAAGAAGTGAGAAAGAACTAACAGGCAATGTGAAGGGGAAAATATATGCATTGCTTAAAAGCATAATTTAGAAATAAAATGAACAGAATTTTGTGGAGTTCACCCCTGAATTCTTGTTGTATCAGATAGCAGTCTATCTTGTAGCTATGTATAGCTAGCAATTTTTGTATAACTCTCACTTAAAGGACAACACAATTTTTAGAACAATGCATCCCAGGCTGCCTCTTTGCCTAAGTGCTATTAAATGTTAGTGATCATTTTAGTACTTTCAAAATCAGAAGATATAATGTTAGCAGAGACTGTAGCTTTTACTACTTTTTTTTAGACTGAATACTTTCAGTGTGTCAAGCCATTAATTCTCTGTTAACGTGCTTTTCAACAGACTTCATATGGAGTCAATCATTTGAAGAAAATATGATTACGACCTGAACAATTTCTGTTCTTTACATATTTAGTCTCTTCTTCTAATGTAGTATATACATAACTTACATGTTAGTAAACATGGCAGACTTCCTACTTCTTATGGTAGCCTATTGGCTTAAATGGAGATCTAGTTTCTGGTAAACACTATGCAATGCCAACAAGATGCAATGGCAAGACCTGTGTGTGCTCTGATACCCTGGCATGAAGGGTATGTTTAGATCCCAGATTCATTCCCCTGTTGAAATAACTGAGGAGGTACTGGTAGAGTAAAGCAAATCTACCTCTGCTTTAGAGTTAAAGCCTCAAGGAAATTCAGCAAGAAAACACATCTTATCCTCTGTAGTTTATACAGTTGTTTTCATAATACTATCATAATTTCAATGAAACACCTTGAGAAATGACCGTACACATGGTTGTACTGCTCATTTTACTTGGTTATGTGTTTAAGGGCAACAGTCAAGTGAGCAGAACATCAGATATAGATAGTTTCTAGAGTGTAAAGCAATCAAAATGATTTCTATTGTTAACAAAAGGTCTGCAGATATGGTCAAGAGTGTAATAGGATCTGAAATCTTAAATGCAGATTGTTTTTTTCTTTTAAATTACCATACAGTTCTTGTACTGTCCTCATTTTGTTGCTGTGCTCTGTACTTTTTTCTCTTTAGCAGTTAGATTAATGATTATTCTACACCAACTATAATATAGAAATTAAAAATATTGAGTAGAATTTTTTTTCTAATCAGAAAAGCTAGTAAGAGCTTGGCAACTGTTCATCAAATCTGCAGGTTGTTTTGTAATTTGAGATGTCATCCAAAAATACTTTTAGAAATGTGAGGGTTTTGAGGAAAACTTAGTTATTTTCCTCTGTCACATATAAGAAATTTTAAGTTACAGCAGAGTAAAAGTTGTTTCGTTCATTTTAAATTTAATGATTTGACTGCCTTCTCTACCTGGCAATGTGTGAGTTGATTTAAAATAAATATAAGGTAGAAATAATTAAAATGTAAAAGAACTTGAAGTAATTTCATAAAACATAATATTTGTTAAGAGAACGAGTTATTTAAAGTTACTTATTTGTATTACTTATGTAAGAAATGAGTGTCAATAAGAGTTTGCAGCAGAGGAATTTAAAATAGCTGAACCATAAATGTAACTATTTGATGGCGTTGGTTACATTGTACTGCAGAATCGCCAGCTAAAAAACTGGCTATTTAATCCATACGTAATTTGAAAAGAACAGGATCTCAAAATAAGAATTCTTAAATAGTTAAAAGGGTATGGGTATTACTACTTATCTGTATAATTTGTATTTTGAAGTGAGAATACACCATGAAATGCTTCAATTTTCATCCGTTAAAGCTAGTTTTATCAGAAAGGTTATGAAAAGATGTTTCTGATCTAGAAATGCATGATTTATGTTAATATATATTACTAGGTAATGAAAGATGACAAAATAGAAAGATCTTCTGTTCTATTTTGTATTGCTTGCTGTTATTCATCTTCCTCATTGTCAAAAACTGGATCAACCTCTGCAACAGCATGACCTTTACAGGGGAGTATATTCTATTTTCACCATTTGTGGAAATGAATAGTATCACTTACTGGTATGCAGAATTGTTTGCTGATTGATGGTAGCAGTCTCACTGAAATTAAGATGGGTAACTTTAGCTTGGGTAGAATGCAGAAATAGTTGCAACTCCATGGAACCTCTGTGGAACCTCCGTCTGACATCTTTCCTTTTACTGAATGATACCTAAAGTAATTCTTTTAAGCCTCTGGAGAGCTGGTGTGCTTACATGTCTGCTAAAGACACCAACAATATCCTCAGCTAGAAGTGTACAAGTTTGTTTGAAGATATACTGGTCAGAGAGCACAAATGCAGCAAGATATGTAGCTTTAGAAAATTAGAACTGTTGTAAATGTACCTGCCAACATGGCACATTAAAAAAGAAGAAACCTGATATCTCTTAAATGATCTATTGAAGCGCTGCATAAACAGCTGATCTCTCAATGTGCCATAAATATGACCAGTAATGGATCTTTGACTTACCCTATGTACTCCATGAACCTAACATATTCAGAGCTTGCTACAGCTGATGAAGAACAGAAAAAACAATTGCTTTACATACGTAGAACAACAGCATTATTAGAATGCCGTAGGACAGATCAGTCATGGAAGAGCTCTCATTGCAACTCATCAGAAAGTCACCTGTAAATGCAAGGTTGGTGAAGTTATGTGAAAAGCAGTACTCTGGCAAGAAAAATACACGCACTACAGTAAAGGAACATGATTCTTGCCAGGTGCTATAGGCTATCATTCCTTAGCATAGAGCAGTGACTTAGCACTGTCATCATCTGAGTTATCTCCTTTAATTCAAAAGCAAGCAGAACCCAACTCTAATTGTGCTAAATCTGCTGAGAAAGCCATTCTTTTTAAATAGTTCTGGTTAGCTTTGAGCAGAGTTGGTATTCGACTATTGAAATAAATAGATACACATTGTCTTAATTATGTCTTCTACTCATTGCCACATGTTATTGGTTTGTCATGTGCACAAGAACTTAAGTGCTTCGAAAGTCCAGACTTGTGTAAGATGACAGCTTCTTTAGGCAGAAATGACTGGAATGAACAGTGCACTGCAATA